GAATTTATTTCAAAATAGCAATAATCTATATACATATATAATGTATAATAATTGAAGTGTGACTGTCTACTAAAATACAGCTAAGACAAGATATTTTGTACATACCAAAGGTCAATTTTATGTTATTGGATACGATAACATGAATGCACGTGTGCCTCGTCATTGTAATTTCTGTATTATTAGCCAGGCATGGCTGAAAGGTAAATATAATGTATAATAATAAATATATATGAATGTACAATGTTATGAGATTTAAGATATTTAGTCTAAACATTTATGTTTTCATGTTATAATTTGTGTTCATTCTAGAATGAAAGCGGCATAATTTATATTTATTTCCTAATTTTTTATGGTTACGAGATCGGTCAAATCTACCGAACCCGTACAGAGGTTTATTACTGAAAATAACAGATAAAATATAAAGTTTTTTCTTAAGAAACGTTTGATAACTATCTGGACATTTATAAAGATTTTGCATGTGAAATTTGAAAATTTTCTGATGCATAAAAGTATTTTTAATCTTAAAATGTAAGTTACTTTGCATGTTAGGTAGACAACATGTGAAAAGAAAAAAAGTATGAGAAAACATTGCTTTACAAACCTTAAGACTTAATAAAAAAAATTGATATTTTGGTTATGAAAGCATTGTAATATTTAATGATAATGTGCCAAATTTCGTTAACATTCGCTTACTAATTTCAAAGTTATAGTTTGAAAACTACAACAAGCACAAAATGTTTGAGGTTGGTTTCAGGGACCGAGCCCATGCTGAAAGAGTTAACATCCAGGTCCTCATCTTGTACAAGGTGGAGGTTATACTGCACCATAATAAGATTATCAGTTGAGTCCATTGTGAGATGCTTTTTTTGTTGTTGTTACTGAGAGGCTTTGAGTTATATTCACAAGCAGTTTTAGTTGGTGGAAAACTTAACACAGTTGTATCAATGTTAGATAAGTTTTAACCCTCCATTAGTCCCCTATATCAAATGCGTAGTGATACTGACTTACATTGAATTTGGATGTTTCCATTGATTTGTATCCTCATCTATGTTCAGTCTGATGACTTAAAACAAGTTGAGGACATACCTATCTACCTTCATTATCCTGTCTCAAAATGTTGCCATGCTACTAGATAGAAAGAATGAAAGCAAACATGCCATCATCTAGAAATTGTCATCATCAGGAACTGTTTTTCAGCTGCAGATAGGGGTGATTGCCACATATTGTCTTCATAGTGCTGCCTCGTTTTCTTCCACAGAAGAACATCTTCAGGCATCATTGATTTGCTTTATTCAGACTTTATCAGAGCATGTGAGATTGCTTGCAACAGGTCCAGCACCCCATTTATTTCACCCAGATTTGGGTGGGAATTGAAGACATTTAATTTCCTAATTGCACTGACAGGGTATTTAGTAATTGATCTCCAGTGAGTCTCTATGGGTTAAAGAAATCCAGTCTCCTTTCCACATTTCAATTTGAATACATTTGAGTAATTATAGTGCCATGTTTCTCTAAGTAGAACTTCATAATCTGCTTGATTGTTTCTATAAGCTTACTTGCTGTTCTGAAATACCTATAGCAAGCAGGTTCAAGGCATGATGAGGTGATGATATTTCTCATTAAGCAGTACCCATGCAATTCACATATTACATGTGTTCTCTGGCTCCACAGTATTTATGGTATCATAACTGACTTGCTAAAGTAAGATTCAGGTGATCTTGGGAAAAAAAAGTGGTGTAAGGGCAAAAAACATCAAGTTGATTAAAGGGTTTCCCTCCCCATTGTCAATCCCTCTGATACAATTGGCAATGAACCTGCTTGTTTTTTCTTTAGAAACACTTTTCATGAACTTGCACTCCTTATCCAAGCAGGAGTAAAAAGTATTGTTATACAGTGTTATTATATTATGTTTATTTTATACAACAGTGGAAAAATTTAGTGATAAGAGTAAAACATTTAAGATCAGTATTAGTTTATATGAGAAAACTGGAGAACGTGAATATAGAAAATAGTTTAATTTAAAAATTTCCATTAATTTTATTAGGCAGTAACAGATAAACCATGATGTGTGTTATTAAGCAGGCCATCAAATATACACCAATATTCCAAACTTAATTCTCGATCAGTAGACGCAGAAGATACTGTTAAGCAAAACTAAATTGATCATCATTTTGAAAACACTAAAATAGATTAATGGAGATTTGAGGAATTCATATTACCTTTAGGAAGAGAGAAGGTTCCAAATTTGGAGTTAGTCAAAATAAAATTTTAAATACCAAGGTGAAAAATGTCAAGGTTCAACTTTCAGTGTTTTTCAGCTACATGTTGTGTTTATATTATTGTTTTAGTGCTTGCAGATGTTTAGTAATTGTTTCCCTGAACAGTGTTTTTCAGCTATATCTTGTGTTTATAATATTGTTTTAGTGCTTGCAGTTGTTTAGTACTACATACAGAAGTATTTGTAGGTACTGTTTTATTAGTTTCAAGAATGTATATTTACCTGTAATTCATTGTTAAAGCACATTTTTCCTTAAACATTTTTTATATTCTTATCGTCTCCAGTTAAAGCTCACTAAACACAACCATCTCAAATTGTGGTTTTGCTGTAATGGGAAAGCATAATGAAGTTGAAAAATGTTTTTCTGCATTAGCAAGTACAGAGTAGACTTGTGCTTTTTCAGCTGCTCTTTTGGAATTTCATTCTATTTTAATCACTTGTCAGAATTGTATGTTAGTGTTCTTTGCATTCAAATAATGTTTTTCTGCATTAGCAAGTACAGAGTAGACTTGTGCTTTTTCAGCTGCTCTTTTGGAATTTCATTCTATTTTAACCACTTGTCAGAATTTTATGTTTATGTTCTCTGCATTCAAATAATGTTTTTCTGCATTAGCAAGTACAGAGTAGACTTGTGCTTTTTCAGCTGCTCTTTTGGAATTTCATTCTATTTTAATCGCTTGTCAGAATTTTATGTTTATGTTCTCTGCATTCAAATAAATGTTGTTGTTTTTATAATGTTTGATACTGAAGTAATTATTAATAAGGTGTTTTGAGTGAAAGTAAAAAAGCATTTATAATGTCACCAGTACTGTATCTGCTTTATCAAGTACCAACAAAGCCATTCACCCTAACACAGGTCTCTTCAGGCCAGCTGGGTGACAACAGGCATAGTTGTGGTTGAGATGCTTTTTTTTTTTTTTTAAATTGAATGACAACAACTGTTATAGTATGGACTGGATTAATTTGATAGAGTGCAATTTTTTATAATTTTTCTTTATGCTACAGCACACAAGAATTAGGATTACTTGGCACTTGTGTATTTATTTGAACACCATTATAAGTACACTCTACATCCACTTGGACACATTTTCTGTTTACCGTTATAAGTGTAACTGTATGGTTGAGAGACGACTAAACGTAACCTGTAATTTCATGTTTTATTTATCTGTTGTGTTATCAGAACTCCTTTAAAATCCAGTATGTGTACATAGTTTAGTAATTTTAAGGTACCCGTTTGAGTACAAATACTTGAGCATTTTCTTTGAAAGACATGCTAATCTTTTTTTTTTATTTCTAGTGATATATCTGGTAGTCTTTTACAGCCTTGTTAGTATAGAATTCAAAGTTTAATCAATGTTTATTGAAACTTGACAGTGTTTAACATTATTAGCTGTTGACATAAGTTACAATGAAGTAATCTGTATTGTATGATAAATAGAAATATAACAAGAATAAATGTTTCAGTAGTGTTCCATCATTTTATAGTGAGACTAATATGTCAGAAAGATTTGACCTGTCTTTTGAAGTGTTATGGAGTATCATTATATACGTCTTGTGAATTTGTGCAGTGTTAATAGATAAGGAACAGAATGAGGGAACATTAATAACAGTTTACAAGAAAGTTTCAGAGTATCTAACAAACTAAATATAGTTGTGATATTCACACTTTAGTTAAGGGTCATTAAACACTACGTTGAGTTTTGGTTTATGTCAAAAAACAACCAAAAAACTACTTATTATTGTACTTAAAGATTCTAAGCTGACAAAAAAAAAATCAAAGGCAAGAGATTATTACTAGACAAATTTCACCAAAAAAATTATAAAGCTGGATAATTAACACAATCAATATAATCGATGACGTTGATTAGTGTCACAGACTATCTGTTAATTACAATTGAAATCAATATTTCTGGTTATTACTGTTTTGGATTTTCAACTATTCCAGTAAGTTAAATATTTCACTTATCATTATGTTCATTTAGGTTTATTTAGCTTAATCACAGTTCACAACTAAGTGTTGAATTGATACTTATTTTTTGACTCTCTTCACATTAGAATATTGTTTTGTACCAAATGATTAATTTTATAACCATAGTAATCTTATTTTCCTATACCTCTAATAAATGAGTGACCCATGATGTTTATTGTCTCTCTGTATAGTGAAGACCTAACTAAGCTATTCACATGCTTGATCATCTCGAGGTAGTTGTATTGGTATAAAATTGTAAAGTTGATTCCCAAACCTAAGCTTACATAACTTGTGTTAACCTGTATCTTATATTAATCTCACTAGTTAGTGTTATGTTTATCTTCATCAACGAAAGTTTAGTAGTTTCATTAAAAGTATTCATTACAATTTGCAGGGAGAATTCTACAGAATGGTGTAATCTTATTTACAGCATGTTACATGTTGCATATATGATACATTTTAATGTACAATAGTTCAGGATAAAAAAAAAAAGCTAGAAATAGAGAGATTTGTTGAATGTAATTGATTAATGAGCATGATGATCAATTTGTTAGCAAAATTCAATAATTATTTAGCTCTGTGGATTTGTGTATTCTATTGCATTTGATATTGTCATTATAAGTAACAAGTTGTTCTCAGTTTGTTATTAAAAAAAAGGTTTGTGTGTGTACTTCCATCCATGTAAGTCACAATTTTACTATCGTGATATTTCCACTGTAACTTTTTGAATCCAAACCATTTGTTTCTCTGTAGAAAAAGGACTGGACCATGTAGCTGAAACTGTTTTATCTTACTTGGATGCCGAGTCTCTCTGTTCAGCTGAACTAGTCTGCAAAGAGTGGTCCAGGGTGATTTCTGAAGGAATGCTATGGAAAAAACTGATAGAAAGGAAAGTTCGAACAGATCCACTATGGAAAGGGCTTGCAGAAAGAAGGGGATGGTATTTTAATTTTTTTTTTTCTTCATGATTTTAATATTCATATGCTATTGAAAAAGTACACAAGTTTAATATTAGTATTATTTTTTTTTTATTGATTAATTGAGAATGTCAGTTAAGTTTTAGTACATCATTGGTCATCTTTTATTGGTTAACAGTGGAAGTCACTAAAGTTATTAAATTCTTCAGTAGTTTTTATGGTTAACATCGTACCATAATTGCTATAGTTTGTTATTGATCCAAGTACTGTGTACAGTTTCATGTTGTTGCCTCTCACAACACACTATTAATGTAAGAAATATGATCTTTTTGACATTTTTATCCAAGTTTCGTAACAGTTTTATTCTTTCTTTTTTTATGTCAATCGTAGATGTTTATTTTTGATGAAATATTTAACAGTTCAGTGTTTACCAACTCGAAATATTGACCTGCAAAGCATGATTGTATAACAGTAGTCTTTAATAAAAATTCAGTTTCCAACTTAATATAAGTGTACCAATAAAAAAAAAATAAATAAAAATTAATGCATGGTCTGACAGTGTTCTTTTAAATAAATTCAGTATCTGCGAATAACATGTTTATCATTAATAAATTGACTCGTTTTATTATCTAGGATCAAGTACCTATTTAAACCCCCACCAGGAGAGCAACACCCAGATCACATGTTCTATAGGAGATTGTATCCAAGATTTATTCAAGATATTGAGGTAGTGTCAATTGCTAATGTGGCATGAAATTGTATTGCATTTAGATTACGGTAGGGATCAGAGAGGTCCTGAAGTACGTGCACTTCGTTTGTTCATGAGTTAAAGCTACACAAAGCAATATCATTGATATTTACATATCAGGAAGACCAAAACACAGATTTCCTCTAAAAGCTTTTGATCTAGAAAACAAAAATCTACCTGACCTATATTTACTGAATACTAAAAACATACCTGTTCTGGAGAGCCAAGTGAAAGTTTGCTAGCTTGAGAAATTAATTAGCCAATTTAAACTTTCATTAAAGTATATTTCTGTAATGGTTATTGTGAAAACATAAAACTGTCTTGTGTAACACTACTGAAATACTTAAATGATAAAGCTTAGTTAGCAGCATGATTGAAATTAATATTTAGTTATTCATTATAATAGATTATACCAGTCTTGTGGACAGAAAAGCTGGGCTCGAAACAAAGCATGGTGAAACCTTTATCATAACACAAGGGCCATGTTCATAACGTGATTCAAAATTGGTACTGCATTGAACAAAATGTTGTTTTTAGTTAAACCTTTGATGACAAATATAGTGAAGTAATTTTGAAGTGATACTGCATTCAATACTATAGTTATTTCACACTTATTGTGCATAGTAGAAAGGTATGAGAATGGGTAAATTGTATTTTTTTTTCACCCATTATAATAAATCAACAAGATATAAATATTCATTATGGATTAAGTTAACTGTGAAGGCTTTGTTTAAAAATGAGTCGGTACAATTGAAGTTATTGGGAAATTTTATGATTTATAGGTTAAATCACTGAGAGAAAAATACAAAAATGACTATCCTACATTATTTCAGTATTTCCAGTTAAGTCTTTACAGGGGTTTTTGTTTAGAAAATATAATGTTTGTTACATTTATAAAGAGGATCCAAAATTCTTATTTTAAAATGCACAGAAAAGTTTCTAAGAGGGTCACTATTTTTTGACTGAGAAATCTTGTCCATAAATACTGATTTATGCCCGTCTGCTTTCTTCGCATCTCGGGACAAACAATTTCAGGTGTAACTTCAATTTTGTGTACTTTATACTCAAGAAGAAACATCCAATAATTATTGAACAATGATTGGATAACAGTCACTCCCACTAATTGCATTTATTTCCAGCTGTAGAATGGATGGTATAATATTGAACCCCTCACTGTTCTTTTTAGGTTTCTAATTGGTCAGAATTGGGATTCTTATTTACAAAAAAAAGTATCACATCTTATATTGGAAACTTCTAGGAATAATGTTGAATATGATGTTAATAAGAACAATCTTTGGACCCTAGTGAAATATAAAAAAACTAAACCCCACTTATTGTTAGGTGGCAATGCAAAAAAAATCTGCATATGTGTACATACACTGCTGTTCTTTTGAGGTAAATTGTAAAGGTGTGGAACTTAGTATCTTTACCTTTATCTAATTAGCACTTTACAAGTTCTATTGCGTTGATTTGTATCCACGTTCCATATCAAGCAGTGAACATAATGTATTCACTCATGTTCATTATTTTCACATGCAAAAACAGTTAACTGATGGTGCTGTTTATACAAGTATTGATGTTTGTGTACATTAGACATTAAAAGTAATGGAAGATAATGAAGTGACATAACTAATCCCATATGGCCATCATTTACTTGAAGTATGCGACTCTAATAATTACACTATCACATGTTAAAAGTCAGTCTATAGAAATCTTAAAAGTCCAGGAATGATTCATCTAGCTTGTTGCAAGAAAATAATACAGCTGTTGTTTGTACTTTTATGGTATTAATTAGTAGAGAATTATTTGGGGGTATAGAAACAACACACAATTAATATCGGTGCATTAAGTTTCTTGCTAATGTTGTTGTTGTTATAGAGCATTGAAAACAACTGGCGATGTGGTCGACACAACTTGCAAAGGATCAATTGTCGTAGTGAAAATAGCAAAGGAGTGTACTGCTTACAGTATGATGACCAGAAGATTGTTAGTGGACTACGAGATAATACAATCAAAATCTGGGATCGAACCTCCCTCCACTGTCTAAAAGTGAGTGTTGTTGTTTTGTTTCTTTTTTTAAAGCTTAATTATTTAATATTTCTCTCCATTTTTTTAAAAATCACCATTATTTTGAATGTTAAATAATACAGAATCTTGTGGGGGGAAAGAAAGTACAGTTATTTTAATAAGATGTCTATCAATATTAAATTTTCTATTACTTAGGTTTTTAATACATTTTAAGACCAGTATTTTAAAAAGCCACAAGATTTGTACTTTTGTTATTTCTATTTATAGTGTATTTACATGAATTACCATATGTAATAATTACAGGTGAATAATTTTGTATAGGTTCTGACAGGCCATACAGGATCAGTCTTATGTCTTCAATATGACGATAAAGTTATAATTAGTGGGTCAAGTGATGCCACTGTCAGGTAGGTATCTTTTAATCTTGTTGTAATGAACTTAACACTGACTTATTGTATCCTTTTAATATATGCAACCTGAAAGGTTAACCATAACCTTAAATGTATGTGTAATACTATCAGTTAATCATCTGTGATGTACAATGTTCATGCATTTTTACAGATGGGAGTTGACAGAAATGGGCATCTGCAGGGAGGGGCAAACCCCCTCCCCCTTTCCTGGAAGATGAGAAACAATTCTTTCTTTATTCATTCAGCAAATATAAATAAATGTTTTATTCACTTCACAATTTTACACACAAACTGGAAACATTTCTGCAGATGCCCATGTTTGATACTTGAATTTTATTTATTTTCTGTAAAATTAACTAGACGGTTGGATATTCAATAACTGATAAAGAATGGACACTTGTGATACAAATCTAGTTACCTTCAACCTTTTTTTTGTCCATTGACGGTGAAAGTTGTTGTGGTAAACAGACTTTTTGATACAAATCTTGGGCTTGTCAGCTAAACCTGTAGCAAAATACTTATCTTTATTATTTCATCCACTTTTGTATGGAGAATATGGATTTTTCTTACTGTAGTTAGGAGAATGTATAAAGTATTTGTGTGGAATTTGACATACTGATATATGTAGAAGTAATTCAAATGTAATTCTTTGAAAAATTATAAAAAAAACTGCATGTGGTTCTTGATTAATATATTTTCAGGGTTTGGGACTTGAAAACAGCCGAGATGGTTAATACATTAATCCACCATTGTGAAGCTGTTCTACATTTAAGGTTCAACAATGGTATGATGGTTACCTGTTCCAAGGTTAGTGGTTCCTTTGGGATAAAGAGAAAAGATGTAGGACTTAAGCTCAATCGTTCTGTTTTTTAATTAAACTGATTTAAACAACTATTTATGTTGGCCGTTCATTAACATTTTATTGTGATAGCTGTCATGGTTATGATCACCTTAGGCTAACTGTTAATGAGTAATTTCTTTATTTAATAACTAGTCATTAATTACTAACTAGTTTTAACCTGTTTCAGCTGCTATTTTCAGTGAAGTCCTGAGAAGGACTATTTCTGTGTTGGTAGTTGTTGGGATTTTATCCTGGGTCTCATTGATGGAAGTCTAGTGCATTAGTCTCCCCCTCCAAATATGTTAGTAATTAATATTTAACTATTAAAGAAAGTTACTACTTAATAATTTGACTTAGATGATCGTATAGACTGCTATCGATGACAACAAATGATAATTGATTGCCACAATCTTACCTTAAGTATTTTATTGTGATTCAAATTCGG